GCGCCTGGATGGCTCAGCCCATTAAGCAGCTGACTCTTGATTTCGGCTCAGGTCATGATCTTGGGGTCCTGGGATCCGGCCTGCACTCAGTGGGGAGTCTGCTTCTGGATTCTCTCTCCTTATTACCCCTCCCCCTGCTTTCGTGCGTGCACGCTCTCTCTCTAAAATAATAAATAAATCTTAAAAAAAAAACCCTCCAATAAGATACTACCTCACACCCATTTGGATGACAATTATAAAAAAATAGAAGGTAGCAAGTGTTGGCAAAGATACAGAAAAGTTGGAACCCCTGTGCACTGCCGGTGGGAATGTAAAATGGACCAGCTGCTATGAAAACCAGCGTTTCCTCAAAAAGTTAAAAACAGAATTACCATATGATCCAGCAATTCCAATTCAAAGTGGGTATTTGTACACCAATGTTCACTGTCGTGTCATTCCTAATAGCGAAAAGGTGAAACACCTCAAATGTCCATCAAAAACAAATGGATAAACAAAATGTGGTATATACATACAGTGGAATATTATTTAGCTATAAAAAGGAATGCTATTCTGATACATGCTAGAATGTAGACGGACCTTGAAAGCATTATGCTAAGTGAAATAAGCCAGACACGAATGGACAAATATTATGATTCCATTTTATGAGGTACCCAAAATTAACTAATACACTGAGATAAATGGAAGGAGGGGGAATGGGAAGCTATTGTTTAATTGTTACAGTTTCTGTGTATTGTGTAAGACTGATGAATTACAATTGCCTTTTTAAATATAAAACTTTTGGTTTGGGGGCACCTGGGTGGCTCAGTCATTAAGCGTCTGCCTTTGGCTCAGGTCATGGTCCCAGGACCCTGGGATCGAGCCCCGCATTGGGCTCCCTGCTCAGTGGGGAGCCTACTTCTCCCTCTCCCTCTGCCTATTGCTCTGCCTACTTGTGCTCTGTCAAATAAATAAATGAAATCTTAAAAAAAAAAACAAAAAAAAACTTTTGGTTTGGGCTTCATATCTTTCCAGTCTGCGGGGAAAACACTTTTATTATATAAGTAATAAATATCCATAGCAGGAAAATTAGAAAAATAAAAGAAAAAAATTTTAAATAAAATTAATTTTATCAAAAATAATTTTTAAACAGTATGGTTTACTTGACTTATAGTTTTGTGATGTGTCTTTCAATCATCAGTTCTCACTCAACAATTTATCATGGATACTTCCACATGATAAAGTTATATCTGCATCTCATTCTTTTAAAAAAATTTTTTTTTATTAAATTGAATGGGAGATAAAATAGGATAAATGGAGGCAGGTTATAAATAGGTATATACATCAAGAGTTCATTCAGTTAATATTTATTGAATGCTTATTGTGTGCCAGGCCCTCTTCTAGGCTCTGAGGATATATCCACGAACAAACCAGATAAAAATTTCTCCCCTTGTGGAGTTCACACGAGATCGATCTCATTTTTTCTTTTTTTAAAGATTTTATTTATTTGACAGAGAGAGACACAGCGAGAGAGAGAACACAAGCAGGGGGAGCGAGAGAGGGAGAAGCAGGCCTCCTGCCGAGCAGGGAGCCTGACACGGGGCTCAATCCCAGGACCCCGGGATCATGACCTGAGCAAAAGGCAGACGCCCAACGACTGAGCCACCCAGGCGCCCCTATCTCATTCTTAATAAAGAGCAGATACTCATGCCTAGTCATGACTCATTTTTTAAACAGCTTTATTGAAATATAATTCACGTATCACACAATTTACCCATTCAAAATTTACAATTCAATGGTTTTTAGCATATTCACACATATATGTAACCAGCACAATTTTAGAATATTTCCATTACTCAAAAAGAAACTCTGTACCCTTTAGCTATAATTCCCTATATCCTGATCTTCCACTCCAGTCCAGTCCACTAATCTGCTTCCTGTCTCTAGAGTTCCCTATTTTGGACATTCCTATGAACAGACTCATATATGTGGCCTTATCTGACTTACTTCACTTAGCATAATGTTTTCAAGTTTTATCTATGATGTAGCATGTGTCAGTATGTTATTCTTTTTTATTGCTGAAAAATATTCCATTCTATGTCACATTTGTTTATCCATTCATTTGTTGATGGATATTTGGGATGTTTCCACCTTTTGGCTGTTATTAATAATGCTGCCACGAACATTCTTGTAGAAGTGTTGTTTTTTTTGTTTGGTTTGGTTTTTTTAGAGAGGATGGGGGGGAGGGGCAGAGGGAGAGGGTGAAGAGAATCTTAAGCAGGTTCCACACCCAGCATGGAACCTGATGCGAGGCTCAGTCTTACAAGCCTGAGATCATGACCTGAGCCGAAATCAAGAGTTAGACAACTGACTGAGCCACCCAGGAACCCCTCTTTTACAAGTTTTTGTGTGGAGATGTGTTTCCATTTCTCATGGGTATGTATATATACATATATATATATATATATATGTATATATACACACACCTAGGAGTGAAACTGCTACATCACATGGTAACTCTGTATTTCATCATTTGAGGAAAGAGGTTGTATCATTTTACATCTCCACTACCAGTGTATGAGGATTCCGATCTTCTCACATCCTCAACAACTATTATTATTTGACTTTTTGGCTGGAACCATTCTAGTCGTATGAAATTGTATCTCACTGTGATTTTGATTTGCATTTCTCTGATGATTAACAACGTCAAGCATAGTTCATGTTCCTATTGGCCATTTGCATATCTTCTTTGAAGGAATGTGTATTCACATCCTTTGGCTATTAATTGCATTATTTGGCTTTTTATTATTGAGTTTTGAGGTCCTTATATATTCTAGATACAAGTGCTGTATAGATAGGGGTGCCCGGGTGGCTCAGTTGGTTAAGTGTCCAACCCCATCTCAGCTCAGGTCTTGATCTCAGGGTCATGAGTTCAAACCCCATGCTGGGCTCCATGCTGGGTGTAGAACCTACTTAAAAACAAGAAACAAGTACTATATAGATAGATGATTTGAAATATTTTCTCCCATTCTACAGGTTGCCTTTTCATTTTCTTTCTTTCTTCTTTTTCTTTTTTTTTTTTTTAAATTTTTACTTTATTTCACAGAGAGAGAGAGTGCAAGCAGGGGAATGGGCAGAGGGAGAAGCAGACATCCACTGACCAGGGAGGCCGATGTGAGGCTTGATCCCAGGACCCTGAGATCATGATCTGAGTGGAAGGCAGATGCTTAACCAACTGGGCCACCCAGGTGCCCCTGCCTTTTCATTTTCTTGATGATGTCCTTTGAAGCATGCAAGTTGGGATTTTTTTTTTTTATGTTTTATTTATTTATTTGAGAGAGACAGAGATAGTGAGAGAGAGCACAGGCGGGAAGGAGCAGGAGGAGGAGACTCCCCGCTGAGCAGGGAGCCCGATGTGGGGCTCCATCCCAGGATCCTGGGATCATGACCTGAGCTGAAGGCAGACGCTTAACAGACTGAGCCACCCAGGTGCCTGCAAGTTGGGAATTTTGATGAAGTCAGTTTATCTATTTTTTTCTTTCGTTGCTCATATTTTGTGTCATATCTAAGAATTTTGATGTTTAAAAATCTTTTCTATAATTTTATAGCAAGCTCATGTGATTTGTAATTTTTGAAATTAATCTTTTTTGTGTTTTATACTTTTTTCTATTTCTGTTTTCAATGATACATACATATATATAAAATTTTATTTATCTCCATGTGTTAACACTTAAATTTCTAGTTTATATCCTAGTCTCTACATAACGATATATAAACACCTGGAGCCTTTAATATTATTCCTGATTCTAAAACAGTAGTTTTAACTTTAATCTTAATTCCCTCCATTCTGTCCAACTTTTTTTTTGCCTGTTTTTCTAGTTAAAGAGTGAAAATATCTTGTACTTATTATCTATATCACCTACAAATTGAGGATTCGATTAAGAAAATTACATTTTTAAACTATGATACTTCCATATAAAATATTAATATTTTATTCAAAATATGGTATTTCAATTTTATCTCATGAGACTGCTGATGACAGTAACATATATGGTAGCATTTAGATCCTAATGAAAAATAAAATACCTTAGTAAATATACAATTGATGTGAGAAATAAAGGCAGAAGAAAAAATTAAATTTCCTTACTGCCCACAGCTCACTGACAAGTCCTTGAAACAGGTAGAGTGACCTTCCTCTAGGAACTCAGCTGCCTCAGTGTTGACACTTTGCAAAGTGCAAAAGGCAATCTCAGCTTAACATTATCCTGACCCCACAGGGTCCTGCAAGTCTACTTTAACATATAAAAATTCCTTTGGAAACTTCCTTTATCTCTACCCCTACCCCCACCCCAAGATACATGTTAGCGATCATCCTCCACGAATATGGCCCACTGATATACATCTGAAGGGTCTCATGACTAACATTTTATTAGACAGTAATAAATGACTTTTTCCTAACAATATTTAGCCCCCTCAAGGTTCTGGAAACCTTGCTTCCAAAATTCCTTAGAGGGGTGCCTGGGTGGCTCAGTCAGTTAAGCGTCTGACTCTTGGTTTCAGTTCAGGTCATGATATCAGGATCTTGAGATTGAGACCCATGTAAGGCTCCGCACTCAGCGGGGATTCTGCTTCTCTCCTTCTCCCTCTGTCCCTGGCCACCGCCCCCCCTTTCTCTAAAATAAATAAATCTTAAAAAAGAAAATCCTTTAGAGACTTATGCTATCTCTAACCCCCTCCCAACTTGAAAGTATATAATCAGTCACCCGTCACAACCCCAGTGCAGCTCTTTCTGCCCACAGATCCTATCCCCATTCTTTAATAAAACCTCCTTTTGGCACTGAAGACATCTCAAGAATTTTTTCTTGGCTGTAGGCTCCAAACCCCAACATTTCCACATCACAGTTACTGAGCTCTATTACTCACTCACTTTTTTAAATGAAGTATTAAAAATTACTAGAAGTAGTCAGAAAGCAGTGGCCCTTGCAAATATACATTATTTCAATTCTTTTGTCCTTTAGTCTCACCTGAAAAGTGCATATACCAGGGTAGCAATCAAAGCGAAACTGACCACAACTGCCACAAGTACTTGGTCACTTACTCCTTCTATGACTGAATCATCATCCAATTTCAAACTTTGAACTTCACCTTGATATTTGGCCATTCCAAGTCTAAAAGATAAATAAACAAAGGTTACAAATGACACAGTGAAAATAAGATATACTACTCAAAACCACATAAATATAACTGACTTCTAATGTATACTATTTTTTTAAAGCACCCACTTAAGGAAAGTTGCATTAAGTACAACTCTAGTGGGGACTCTCCCATTATTGAGTTCTTTAAAATCTGCCAGACACATTATTTTGAGGAGTACAAAATTTTATCTCCTTTAAGGTAAACAATTACTGTAATTTATCATCTATTTACATTTTTTAAAAACAAATTTTTAAAAAATACCCTTTCTTCTTCAAGCTCTGTTCCTTTAATCTTAAGGAAAAAAAAGACATTCCTGATGGCCAACTGCTCTTCTCATTCTTATATACCAAATCAATTCTCCCAGTGAATCAGATCCCTCTTCACCCTCACAGCACTGAAGTGTCCTGGAATGTACCATGTATGGATAGGGAAGGCAATATATTTTCTTCTTCTGTAAATATTCCTGTATTATCTAGTGTAGTGCTCTGTACACAGTAGGACCTAATAAATATATGTTTAAATATAAATGACTTACCTTACTTATAATGTTAGTAATTTGAAAAGTAAAACACATTTAGGCTATAGGACATTTAAATCTATACCAAGATTAGTTGAATTAATGAAAATTCTGGTGCTTGAAAACTATTAGCCTCACCTGGAACTAAGCTCAGCTTATGGTTCAGAATTCTTTGAACTGCCTGGAATATGGAATCACTCTGAGGCTGCATTTCCTTATGAAGAGAAAAGGGAGGATATGAAATTCTCCTTCCCATACACTAAGCTTGAGAAAAATGGCAATACCCAATTTCTATAGGTATGAAGGGAAATAACCCAACCACATCAGAATCCAAGTATCACAGGTAATTCATATTTTTTATATTGCAAAACAGAAAAATTTAGTCTCATAAGACACCTAAAGGAAAATAAAGGAAATACTTAAACATATATGACTATTCATAATCAAAATAAAATTCTGTATCTATGTAACTTACTGCACTGAAAAGTTTTATTCATTAACCTAGCGAGTCTCTGTTAAGAGGAAACTTTGTGAAAGTCTAACACCTTTGAAAGAATCTGAATTGGCTGCTAATAAGGAAATTACCTTATGGAAGAAACCTAAGCAAACAGATCAAAGCCAATTTCCATCTTTACACATAGTAATAGTCTAATATATCAGGAACTTTCTAATGATAGGTTTCAAATAACCATTATGAAGGCCACACACCAGAAAACTCAGAGAAGCAGCTCTAACTTCATTATTTTCATTCAAAAGAATAGTCAAACGAACTGCCAACGGAAACTGAACAAACAGCCTCAAATAATCTAGGGGTGGGCCGTGTAGTAAATTTAGGTGTTTCTTTTACCAGGTTTCCTCTGTTTATTTTTTTTTAAGATTTTAAGTACTCTCTAAACCCAACGTGGGGCTCGAACCCACAACCCCAAGATCAAGAGTTTTAGGCTCCAATGACTAAGCCAGCCAGGAGCCCCAGGTTTCTCTTTTAAAATTGGAGATGCTTTGTACAGCTGTGTCAAAAGTCCTAAGGGCAGTGAGAACTACTTGCAGCTGCACAAAAGATAACCAAAATCTTATCCCCTTGTGTCAAGAATTCCAGTCTCTACTGAATCTAATTACTTCACAGAGTTGTGACGATTTTTCCCAGTGGTATAAATTTAGGTAGTTTACTACTGAAGTGGAGCAGAATTTGTCACCCCAAAGTAATGACTTTTTGTTTTAAGAATTACTTTAGGTTATTTTTTTAAAACAGCAAAGGAAAAGTTCTGAAACACAAGCAGACCTTACCCTTCTGTAAAAGAGACATTTACAAGGGAAATCTCCATTTGTAAAGGTATCTCTCAATACCAGGAGGACTAAATCCCTAGAGACTGTTATGAATGGAGAAGGCATGGACTTAAATCTGCATAACAACTTTACCCTTGTTTACTGTGCTTTTCCTGGTAACTTCCCATAACTGTGTCCCCCACCCCCAACATCTTTCTTTTGTCTTTAGCTGAAGGTGGTATTTAATGTGACTGCTTGGGCCATTTTGGAGTTACTCGGTTTTCCTGGGTACCTCCCATGTACACGGAAGTATACAAATGATTAAGCTTCTGTTTTTTTCTTGTTAATGTCTTTTATTACAGGGGAGTCTCAGCCAAGAACCTAATAGGGTAGGGTGATAGTTATTTTTTCTCCCCCAGACTCCTTTGTATTTTTTTTAATGGATTACATTTGTTTCTGTGTCCTTCCAAGTGTAATAAATGGTAATGTAAATTCCACTGTACAAATTATGTTTTTTCATTCTGCTGTATACTTAACTTCTTTGCAAATAAGATATTGCTTATGATATTGCTTCAAGCACAGTTCCAAGAGCTCAGAGATCCAGGATGCTCTAAGTATTGCAGAGCCATATAATGTTATTTGCATCATTTTATAGCAGAAGTTCCCAATGTTATTGAAATGAAGAGAGTTATTTTTTACTTCCACAAATTCTGGTATCCCCAAAGAAAGTGTCTGGGAAGAGAGAGGGGAGGAGGGGAAGAAGCTGCTGATAAATTTCTGAGAGGAACAGAGAGGTCAGGTGCATTTTCCTGTCACATGGAAACCCCAGCTAAACCCAGAGCTCTCACAAGAGGAACTACTAATGACTGACCTTGTTGGGGGCTTCCAATAGCTCAACTTCCACTAGCAGTTTTTCTTGTAATCATAGTTTTAAAATGGAACTGTAGGAGTTAATAGCTCAAAAATTGGGTAAGATGCTGATCTAAGATTACAGAGGATAAACGATAAAAAGAAAATTTTCTACGTGAGACGACATAATACCTCAATCTTGAAAAGTCAGTCTTTTCAATCTGAACTTCAGTTCTCCAACTTGTGCATTACACAGTCAGGTCTTGTCTAGACCAGAACTGTGCTGATGGTTTTGTCCAATAGCACAGACTCTCAACTCAAGCCTGCTTGGACATTAACAGCCCAGATTTTAGTTCCAGTTCTAATACCACAACTGTGTCCTCGCTTAATCTCTAAGGACTTCCATTTTCTGCAAAATGTAAAAACTGGGCTTGAGGATTTCTTAAGTTCCTTCCCCCATTACAATTATGAAAATAAGAGTTACCAGGACTTCATTTTTACTATTTGAGATTCACAGAAATAAAACACCACAGATCTTGCAAACTGTGTGGTGTAACTGATAGAAGGCTGAAGTGAACTGGTTTCTAGCTTTGGTTTGCTACTAACTAGCTAAGCCTTATTGAGGAGTAGCTTAGTATGTCAGAGAAGCATAAGCTTTAGAGGCAGACAACTATGTATTTAGGTAGTTTGCATCTCAGCTTCTTCATATGTAAAATACATAAAATTAATTTTAACCACACCAAATGCCCACTTTTAAGTAACCTCCACACCCAATGTGGGCTCGAAATCACAACACCGAGATCAAGAGTCGCGTGCTCTACCTAATAAGCCAGCCAGGCACCCCTCAAATGCCCATCTGTTTGACCCCCCCCAAAAAAAAGCTCTTTGTTTTATGGAGACTATAACGAGATAATGAAGGTATTTAGCATATTGCTTGGCACATCATATAGGCTCTCAGTAAATGGAAACTATAATATTTTGATTACTTTAAAAAATAAAATCTATAAAAAATTAGTAATCTCTACACCCAACATGGGCCTCAAACTTACAACCCCAAGATCAAGAGTCACATGCCCAACAAACTGAGCCAGCCAGGCACCCCTTGATTACTATTATTAACAACTGTCAAGAACCATTATAAAACTTAGCCGTGCCTTCCCCATTGCTGCACTATGTTGCATCTCAAATTCTCTTTAATCAAAGCTCTAAGTAGGTATTCCCTGGGAAGACAGCATAAACTTGGGAACATTGCCACGCAGGACACTACCGTGTTTATTTAAATCTGATAAACAGCTTTAAAAATAAATAATAAGTCTGATAAACAGCTATAGATGAGACCTAGTCTCCAACTAACTAGAGTAAAGAGACGGCTAAGACAAGTTGCACTCACCTCTCTCCTTGGTCTTTTCCAAAACTTTCAGGAAAAAAATAAGAATAAGGGAAATATAGAAATTCCGTAACTTCCAAAGGAGAAACTCAGTCTTTTTACCCAAGTTCACGTAAAACATGATGATCACATGACTTCCGCAGACAATTACATCCAAGAAGCTTTTAATATAATTTCCTTCATTGAGGGTAATTGGAGCCACAAATGAAATCTCAAGAACACTGCAGTATCATACATAAATGCACTATGAGTGAGCAGTCAAGACTGAAAAGGGAGGCTTAGGTCATTTGTGTCAAAGCCTCGAAAACCTGAACAGCTGGAGTGAAGGTGTTCACTACACCACAGTCCCTCCAGAAAAGGCTAGCATCTTGTTCTCCACTTCCAAAGACAAGTTGCAGGTGAGTCAGGCTTAAGTCAGTGTAACATGTACTTACTGATTTTACGTGCCTAACAAGGGTAATAGTCATTAAAGTGCTAAGGGTTCTACAGAAACAACCTAGTATGGAATGTAGGAACTCTGGTTTGACAGATCCAGAAGCACCAACAGAGGAAACAAAGGCAGGTGAGACACATTTATCATTTCTAAAGATTTCTCTGCCCTTGGTGGAGGGAAGAATATAATTTTTTTTCTTTTTTTTAATTTTATTTATTTATTTGAGAGAGAGAATGAGATAGAGAGAGCATGAGAGGGGGGAGGGTCAGAGGAAGAAGCAGACTCCCTGCTGAGCAGGGAGCCCGATGCGGGACTCGATCCCGGGACTCCAGGATCATGACCCGAGCCGAAGGCAGTCGCTCAACCAACTGAGCCACCCAGGCGCCCAAGAATATAATTTTTTAAAAGACCATTGAGAAGACTCTAGGTAAGATTTTTTTACATTTACAAAATGATACATTCATCACATGTGAACTGTTAATTGGTACTCTGTAAGGCATCGTTAAAAACTCACTCCAATTCTGAGTGCTCAATGACAAAACCTACTCCTAATGGGAAAAGGGGGGTCTCCAGGGACTCGCAAACCAAAGTAAAGATGTGCTCTAGGAAGTTGTTTGCTGCACTCCAAGTAAGTTTGGCATTACCTGGTAAAGTTATGTATACTTGGATTCAACAATTCTCCTAGGACTCCAAGGTATGTATCCTAAAGAAACCCCCTACACATTTGCACTAGTATCCAGGTTTAAGAATGCTTACAGCACTGTTTTTAGTAGCCCCAAACTGGAACAAAATGTCCATTAACAGAATGGATACGCTGTTCTAATCATACAATGGAATACTAGACAGCAATAAAAATGACCTACAGATACACACAAATTTACTACAAATTCAAAGCCATAAAATACACTGACCCCATTCACAAAAGTTCAAAAACAAGCAAAGTAAAACTATATTGTTTAGGCATGCATATACAGACAGTAAAGCTATAAGAAAAGCAGGAAAGTATCATAAAAGTCAATCTAGAGAGAGAATTGTTCTCAGGAAGGAACACTAGGTGTGGGTAGAACTCCTGAGGTATGGGCAGTATTCTTTTGTTTTTATCTGGGTGTTTGTTATTATTTTTCTTCAGCCATGTACGTTGTATGCACTTTTCTGCATATGTCATATCATATAAAAATATATTGGTATCCCTGCAGAAATCCACGCCTCTAAAAAGGTACGGGTGCTCGCTGGCGGACCATCCACCAAGCCATTAAACACGAAAGCCAACCCCTAGCTCTGCACTAGGAGAAACAGGCCCTAGAACTGCCGAGGTCCTCACGGGCTAACAACTGACGCACACTCTCTCCCTACTTAAGTAGCCGAAGTTTTCAGGGAGTCGACGCTCACCCACGACCCAGGAAGGAACGGCCGGCTCTCCTCACCCGGCCAAGCACCTAGAACCGCGAGACGCCCGCCACGTCGGCCCTTCCACCTTCTCCGGAATTCCGGGCGGGAGCTGGGCGACTCTGGGGCTTAGCCCGGGGCTTCCTGAAGGAAGGCGGAGCCCCAGGGTCCGAAGCAGCGACTCCCCCCGCCGCGAAGCCCGAAGGCGACCCCGGGGCAGTCCCGCCCACGCCGCAGCCCTGCCGGCGGCTCCCGCGGGCCCGGATCCGGGTGGGCGTGGCCGGCCGCGGCCCGCCGGCTGGGAGGGGGAGGGGCGCGTACCTCTCCACCGCAGAGGATACCTCGCCAATTCCCGGTGACTGAGAATAGAGATTATTTCCGGGCACGGCCCCCGCCACCCCTCCCCGGCAACCACTAGCTGTCTCTTTTTTATAATTTGGAGTGCGGACACTGGCGCACGCGCACTGCCGAGCTTCCGTGAGGGTTCGAGCGG